GGAATCCAATCTCTGCATAAATGTTGGCAACATGTCATTGATAGTAATGGAGATTATCTTTTGAATTGATCTTGTTTACTTTCGTTTTTATAATAAAAAATTTTTAGCCTCAAACGCGCATTTCTTTCCGAACAACCTAATACATTGTTGAGAGAATCCCAGCGGGGAATGAGGTGATACTTACTGGCCGTGGAAGAGGCGGGGGTCGTTATTGCCTTCGAGTGAATTTTGCCGGCCGAGAAAGTGATAGGAAGTTAGGGAAGGTCAATAAGATGGCAGATAGGATAGGGAAAGGCGGGTGAGAGGGAGGAATCGTGCCAGCGGAGGAAAGTTGGGGGAGGAGGAATGGTTGTATTTTCCGAAACTTCTCCTCAGCGGCAGCAAGTGCCTTCTAGAAGCATTCCTGCGCCTTCTTTACCTTCTCATAGCATGTAGCACTACTGAATTACTTTTCTTTTTTTACAGTATCTTTCACGATTTCAATGCTCTTTCTGCTTAGCGGATATAATTGTTACCGTAATTGTGCGCGCTTTTTCTGATTTTTTGGCGCACATTCGACTCGGGAAGAGGGGAGGGAGTTGGGAACATGCTCCCCATCAACGCGTCGAGCCATCAAGTGGAGACCTGTTAAATCATGTCAAGCCTGGGGGCCACCAGCCAAAATTTGTAGAGACCACTAGTCAACCCTTGTAAAGAGTACCTGCTCCTGTTAAACAATAAACCCATCAATGGAAAGTAGCAAAAGCGCGAAATGCCCCTCCCCCAAACCTAACAGCACCTCTTTCTACTCAGCTACTGGTAATAACTAACAAATATCAAACCTCCAAGTGATGATAGCGCACGAAGCGCTAGCGGTAACTGTGATAGTTGCACACGATTCGCGTTAATAGCGAACAGACGGGCCGACATCGTTGAACAAACCGCATCAGAATCTGCAAAACACCAAATAAGTACAGTTTCGTTCGCTTCAGGTGAAGGGGCGTGTCAGGCGGGATGGGTTTGGTTCGGTGCCAAACCCGTTCTTCACCAGTTGTTGAAGCGAGCAAGCGACGAGACTACATCATGTCTTTCGTATCAGCCATTTTTTTTACCAGCCACCCTCTTCAACAGCTCATGGAGAACGGGTCTAGCGCCGCGCCAAACCCATCCCGCCCGACACGCGTCCTCATCCGCAGCGAACAAGACTGAAATTCAAAATTATGAAGAAAATTGAGACAGACAAACCGATATCATCGACGGCAGCCCAGACGATCAACTCCAGTCCACACGTGGCAGCCAGAGTTGATAGACTATGGCGAGGTAGCTCCAAATCCGTTGGACGTCGGCTTACACCCAATGGCGTCGTCCGACGTTCTCCGAGTAACTGTCGTTGATTTTCTAACATACCCAATAGATGAACGACGAATGCATTAAGCTGGAAGTTATGCAGTTTGGAGAAGATCCCAGTTCAATTGGAAGAGGAACTGTTCGGCTAGGAAGGGGCGTTCTGCAATTTTGCTGGTTCCTTTTGCTAGTCCCTGTTAAATTACACGTCACCCTTATGAGACCTGCAGACTCTTTCAAGAAGCTCCAGCTAATGCATAGCATTACAGGTATTTACAGTTCTCCACCGGTGGCACATGCGGTGGTCGATAGGAACCAGCAAAATGCTCCCAGCAAACCGAACAGCGCCTGAATCTGTGGCGAACCTCTTTGGCAAAGTTCTCCTTGACAGAGCAGTCTTTGTTCAACACTGAGAATGGTCGCAGTACTTCACGTAGCAATGACAGACACGCCAACGTTAGTGCCTCACTGACTGTCTTGTAGGGAAATCGCTTGATAAACGAACCCTAGACCAAGGACCAAGATTAATGTACGGAAATAATACTAAAAGAGAGACTATTCACCCTTTACTGCCCCAACCTTTCAGAATCAGGCAGTTTTCACCGATTCTTTCTGTGGAGGCGAATTTGGTTGAAAATTTGCCTTCAGGAAAGTTTGACATTCAAAACACAGATATCACATCCGCTTGACAACCGCCTGGCGCCCACGCCCGGCCCTAGCGCGGGCAGCAGACGATTTCGCGCCAAACGGAAGCGGTGAACATGTCCAGGTAGCCAAACTAAGCATAAAGGCCATTTCCCAAATCGATAATCTGACCCAAACTCCGAAATCTGGGGTAGTAATGCAGCGTTCAGACTTCAAGACGACACGCGTCGGCGCGCTTCAATTGCAACAGCGCTTCGATCCTATAGGCGCGAGCGCAGCCGGAAGTCGATGGGCACCGGCCACTCGCCCTTTCTGAGCGTAGGATAACAGGACACAACCGCACTATTTGTTACTCTCCTATTTTTCTGTGATCTCTCTCAATGCCCTAGCGATCACGCCAATCGATACCAGACTGCGTGGTCAGGCAACGCGTATCCCCCGGTTCCCCAATACTCTCTCAATACAGAAGTGGCCGGCGCCGATCGATATCGATTTCCGTCAGCGTCTGCGTTCTCCTTTATTGCACTGTTGCAATTGTAACGCGTCGACGCGCGTCATTGCAAAGTCTGAACGTTGCTTAAACGGTAATTAAGGCTTGGAAGGTAACTAACCGTATACACATCCGTAGCATGATTATCGAGCTGCATGAGCACTTCTTTCTTGAGCAGTTGTTGCACCTGAACTCAGCCATTTATCCTAATTATAATGCTTGTCTTAGCCTGAAGTACAGGTCAAAAGGCCTACCGTGTCAAAAAGAGCCTCCAGCTCCTTATTGGTCAGTACAAAGTGGACAGCGTCCTTCGTTTCGGTGTGAGAACAGACGAAACTTGCTCCGTATTTGTTATAGAGTTTTACTAGACGCTGCGCGTTACTCGTTGTGGTTTCCTTTTCTGAAGGCACAGGCACAACTCCTCCATCTAACCATGCCCACGTATCATCAGAGCTTATACGAGGCACGTCCGGGCTTAAAAACGAGCGACTGACAAAAGTACAACAGAATCTATCAAGAAACACGAGAAGATAGTATAATCTTCATAGAAAAACATTTAGGTGATTACAGAGAAGGGTAAATTGCACGGCAGTTACTGAGAGTGGTCACCTTCTCGACCAGCGCACGCTAGAATAATGAGAGGTTAAGTACGATTGTCCCCCCCTCCAATTAGACCTGTTTCCAGCACGACCCTTTTTCAAGCGAAGAGATCAACATCATCTTTCCCCCTTTCTTCCGTACTACCTCTTACTCGGTAATTTCCCATTTCCCATGACAAACTCTCGAACAGGGAAGGGGAAAATGTTCATGCATTCTCAGAAACCAGAATGCTTCAACGTCGAGCAATTCAACAAGTCATTGAGTTAAACATGGCCTGCTCTCCCTGACTTAAATAAAAGCACCACTCATTGAGGATCCCTCGAACGTGGTATGAATTAGGGAAGGTTAGGTACGAGCTACAGCTTGGTCTGACGGTCAGCACAACAGGGGATGTTGTGCCGTGAAGATACCCCGATAAGGAGGGGGGGGGGCGAAGGAAGTGGTCTATCTGGCCTGGAAACAGTTTTCGATTTATCACTTTTCCGCTTCACGCGCTGCATCCACTTTTTCAGTTTTTCTTTTGTTGATGGCGTGCCCTTTCGGTATTTCTGAGAGCTAGTTGGAGGAGGAAGCTCCCCTCACGCCAGCTCGACACACCTCGGGTGCGGAGTGAGTCCGCTGTGTGCCACAAAAAGCAACCCAGAAAGACGGTCACATCCATCCACGTGAAAGAAATGCGTAAATTGAAAGGCTAGAGCAGGAGATTTTCTTTAACCACATTCTTACTATTTTTTATACCACATTTACACTGTACTAACGCTGGGTTCACCACTCTCTCTGCCTCTGCTGAATCTCCTGAACTATTCAAAACTATTTGACTATACTCGAACTATTTGAGTGTATAGTTTTTGAAAAAAATTATCGTCTATTAAAAAATTGCCCAACTCATAAAGACACAAACCCCTTTTTATCGTTTCCACTGCCTTCGACTGGAATCTGAAACTCGACCGGAAATACATATGAGATCAAAGGCCTGTCTGGATTCGCAGTGTATCGCCCTAACGACCGTAGTAAACCCATCACGTAGCATGTGAGTCTGAGGAGATGGGCTGAAAGCATACTTTACTTGGGTAACTGTCTAAAATGAATGTTTCTCGATCATTCTAAAAGCTTCATATTCAATGGAACGATCAAGAAATGACTTTAAGGCTCCAAAGAGAAGAGCGAAATCGATAATAAGCATGAGAGTAGCATACCTTTCGAATGACCAGTGTTTTCATGATCTTCCAAGATCTCGAGAATAGAGGTTACGGCACAGGCCAACGCATCGATCTTAAGTAATACACACTGAGAAAAAATATAAAATTAGTAGAAATGCGGTTCCATAGTAGCCAGAGATACACTTGGCGAAAATAAAAAAAAGAC